CCACCTGGGAAAGTGTGGGGGCAGCCGTGGCCCCACGTGGGAAGGATTCAATATCCATAATGATGCTGCAAAGCCAACTGGCCAACTACTTACGTATCCTGTCTGGAATTAGATGGCAGTTTTGTTAGGGGGGTAGCATAAATGCAACCTCCCAATTTTGATACAGATTTCTGTCAAGGAACTATTTTGTCATCCTAAAATTATGGCCAGGGCGTAATTTATGAGTTTATTAATTTACCCCCAATTTTTGTAGCGAACGGGTAAGTACAGAGACAGTATCAGTAATTTAAACCACTCGATTAGGGCAGAGAACATGAAATTTTTTAGTGTCACGCCGAACCGGCCACAATGGCGTTCTAGAGACGTACCTTCTCGCATTCCAAGGTGCGAGGAGGGTTGATCTTCTAATGCTATCTGAAATTAAACATGATGGAGGTCGTCTTCAAGCAGCAGGATTGCTTGGGCACAGGAAACTATAGAAGTCTGATTCCAGCGGGTGGTTTAGAATAACAAAAGACGATATTCAATTTCCGACAGATCAAGCGACAAGTGTCTCATCGGACACATCATCCGATTGCCTACAAAAGATTGCTGCGATGTGTCCCATGTAGCTCAAATTTGCTACTGCAGTACATGAAGATAAAATTCTCAAATCGGTGTGACCAGAAATAATGTTGCCAGATCATAGCAGGAGGGCAGCACATCGCCGCATAGACAAAACCGCACAATACTGAGATTAGCAAACTGCTCAATTTGCCCGCGCGCTAACACGATTCACAATAATCATGCGGGATACTAAGTAGTTCAACGCGGTTTGACGCCAAAGAAATCTGCTGAATGGGGAATTTCTTCACACGGTAACGTTCACTGCTAAACGCATATGTGCTGTGCCAAGAGTCAAAACATATTTTTCAAAAAAGTAAATTGCATCTAATATAAACGTCATCTGACAGCATTCAGAGATGATTTGCTGCACGCAGATGCGGCGAGAGCTCTCTCAGCTCGGAAATGTGTTGCGGGAGAACGAGGAGCTCCGATGGCAGAAGGCGGAAGCCAGAAAGATGATCAGATCTCGCGAGGTTGGTAATACAAATGTATCAATTGCTCCTTCGTAGATTCTGCACGCTTGCAAACATAAACAACATAAAAAGCCGTAAAAATCAAAAAAAACATAAAATCCGAGTCCGTGCTCGCTGGAGGCGGCAAGGGGCATTTGCGCATCCTAGGGTTTCTTTCCAAAGTGGAGAAATTCTGAGACAATTTCACGTGTATGGTCGCTTCGCCTGGGCGCTGAAATGATGACGGTGGGATTGTGCAAGTGTAAGAAATGAGGTTTTCGGAAATTCATGCACTGATGGTAGTGCGCCGTCCGCCGAGGGGACATACCGCGGCTCCTGAGAAGCGATGATGGATCCTGTACGTGATTCGCGCAAATAAATCAAGTGAATCAATCCAATTCGATTGAATTCAAGCACCTGCGGACATGGCACAAATGATAGCAATTTTCACGAAACATCTCTCCGTTCAAAGTTACATGAACTGTACATGATACTGGCAAGAAAATAAATGAACCTATCGCTCCCGCGCGTATAAAAATGCAAAAGCTTGAAGAATTAGTTCCCTGTTTCGTATGTGCAAGTTTTCACTGAGAAATGCCACCCACTTTCCATTGTCATTTGACCCAATGTTCCGCATGGACCGTATGTGCCTATGCTCCATAAAACAGCAGTTGCATCAGCAGCTGCAGCATTTTGTACCCTTTGGCATCGATCGCCACACGGGGCGCAAGACTGCGCATCATCATTGCTAGGTTGCTTCATCGAAGGCACGAACTGCCTCTTCGATCAAAGATTGTCCCCGCGAGGTCCGAAATGCATTATCTTTCGCCAACAAGGCGATGGTGGACGTTTCTGACCACCATATTGCTTCTTCCCAAAATTTGCATGGGTGTTCCATGGGCCCCGCCCCCACGGTTCAATTTCTCTGGCCGAAAGCGCCATTGTAGTGGTCGCAAAATTAGGCCCGCTTTCTGAGTCGCCAGCTCTGCTGCACAGAGGAGCTACACGTCGGCGCGTGTGCAGGAGCTCGAAGCGACTGTGGGAAAATTACAGCGGCAGTTGGATAAGTGCGACAGTGCGGACGCAAACCGAGATGGCGAGATGAACAGGCTGAGAGCCAAGGTCGCCTTCTTCGAGAAGAAGGTGAAGCTCCTTCAGTGGCAAATGCTGCGCCCCCTGGACACTGTGGCCACGACCACTCACCGCTGTGGGACACGATTTTTTTTCCTGTTCGTCGGGATTCCTGAATTTCCAGCACGCGCACAGTGTGAATAGATATCGCTGAACTTTGTCAATGGAATGGCCTCCATTCAGTGATGCCCAGTGAGGCCTGCCTGCATTGAAGACGCAAGCACGGGCTTGCTGGAGCATTTCTACCCTCGATGCAACTGTTGCAGAGAAAAATTTTCCTGTTTTGATCATTTTGATGGCTCAGTCTCATTTTGGAAGTTGCAATCAAGGGGATTGCGCATTTCTCCATGCCTATATTACGCACCACTGCAAAGCTGACTTCCCAAATTCGCCAACCGAAGTTGGTGCCTGAAAGCGGTGCCATTGGGCTTCTTCAACGCTAGGCTTGGTTTTTACGCCCTAAAAACTGATCGTATTTACGTTTTTACGCGTAGAAATAGTTTTTACGTTTTTACACGTAAAAATGCGTAAAAATACGTAAATACAACGTAAAACTGCCCGGTGTACACAAGGACAGTACATAAAGACTTACAGAGTCCGGAGAGTGGCGGCCAGACGTCCTGGAAGGGGCTGAAAACTAGTTTTTCTTAAACACCATTATCGCCCTTGCCAATGGCGAGGTGGACATTGTGTTGCAGGTGCTTGAGATGGCGGACAACTGATCATTGTGCGCAACTTTCATCACGTAACCTGTGTGTCCCAGGGAGCCGTAAAAACGTAAAAACAGCCGCAAACATAGTCCCATTTGCAAATTTACGTTTTTTCACGTGAAAACGTAAAAGTAAAAACGTAAACGTCAAAACCAAGCCTGTTCAACGCCAATTTCGAGCTCAGCCTCGCACTCTCATGAATTCCAGCACACTGTCGAAACGCTGCACTTGAAAGGCGTCAAAGAAAAACAGAACGGGCCGAACGGTGTTCCTACCAGCGCATTTTGCTGTCAGGTCTCAGGGTGGAATCGACTGTGGTGGGACTCTCCCGAGCGCGCTTTAAGAGATTGAACGGTTCCTCCTGTGCAGCTGTGGCGCCTGTCGTGGCTACAAATTGTTGCGAGAATGTGACGCAGTGGCTTCAATTTCAAGCCCTGAAGCACTCAGGCAAACGAAAACGCAAACGCAATTTTGCGAGCATTGCAAAGCAATAATGCGAAGGCGGAATGCAGGTCAGGCAACTACCAGCCAATAGTGTTCGTCCTCACAGTACTTGTTCAACTCGCCCGCCTCACCCACTCGCCCTTGCATGGCTGGACACGTAAGCTGTACTACATTTCTGCAAAGTACTCACACAGCAGCACTTGGCTGAGACTCAGAGCTTCTTTGCAGTTTTACTCGGCATGTTGGGTTTTAGGACATTCCCTACCGAAGAACTTACGACATTCCAAACACAGGATGCAACACCAATTGGAATCCCTGCCGCGGCAGCAACGCGGACCTGACACTCTCTTTGAGGTCTTGCCGCAGGCTCGAAATCGGCGCAAGGTCTTCAAAGGCAAACTCAGCCTCCAGGCGGACAAGGGCAGAGAGGACAAGGACGCCGACGATCCCCTGGCCGATGTGGAGAGCATGCATGTCGAAGCCAAGGCGGTGGTTCAAGCGGTGAAGCAAACCCTTGAAGAAGCGCCTTTCACCTTCTGAGAGGCAATCCTCCGTCGCTGCTTTGCGCTGCGTCGCATTGCTTCAAGTCATCGATGGAGTGCAGGAAGCCTGGTCAATGTCCAACCCTGTGCAATATTTTTTTAAGAGCAGTCCGTGTGACCCCGACTCCAAATGGCGTCGCGTCTCCGGTGCCAGTAATTTACAACGTGTCTATCACCAAGAACCTCAATCCCTGCAAGCGAAACTCGCTGTCCGCCTGGAGACGGCCCGCGGATGAAAAGCGCATACAGGGCTGACCGGGAAATGAGGGACATAGAATGGGGGCCTTGTGTTGATACACAAATTTGGCGGTTGGCCCAATGTAAGGAGCAAATCTTGGCGCTCGCATAATGCAGGAAAGGAGGCTTGCCATCAGAGCCATGGCACAGGGTGGCGGTAGGAGTTGGTCATAATTTGTTCGTCGGGGTCCCAAACTTGGGGTTGCACAGACAGTGCATGCACGCATGGCAGCAAGGAGCGCACCCCGTGAAGAGGCAGCAGCAAAAATACATCCCAATTCACAACCCACACCAGCACCCCTCAGCATCCAGGCATTCATGCACTTCAGCATTAATGTACATGGCAATGGTACAGACAACTTGAAGTGTAGCTGCAAAAGAAGGTGGCACTGCAATCCCCTCGGCAGTGCCTCAACAAAATCTCCTTGAGGAGATTTTTCCGGAGGTATCCGGATCTCTGTCTGACAGCTCTGAAACAGGCCACGGGCGCCCAATGCAGATACCTGCTCTCAAGCCATCAGCAGTAATGCTGCATCGAGCAACGAGCACAGCAGCTGCAGCAACATCTATCCCACCATCCCCTCTGCATGCATGTCATAACGAACAATGGCTGGGCGAATACCCTCCAGTGCTGCCAATATGGCCTTTGTTAAGCTTCTTGGAAAAACAGTGCTGGGATTGCAAAGGAGCCCACCACATTGCCCGATTATTCCTGCAGGCCTAACTGCTCTGCAGCGCCTGAATGTACTGACACACAGTGCTTCCAACCAACACAGCACAGTGGTTGAAGTGCACACCAGCTGTCTGAATCTGTGTGGTCACACAATCCTGCATGCACTATGCTCCACCTTGCAACTGCACCCACACTCCCCATACCCTCATTGGACTTCCCCAGCCATGGTCTTAGGTGCGTCACCCTTGGGCTGCAGGCCGTTGCTGCCATTGTGCCCCTTCCGCAGGGTGGCAATCACCTTCCTCAATTTCAGCTCTCTGTCCAGTGCAGTACCCTGCTCTGTCTCCAACCTCTTCACCTTCAGCCTCAACTGAATCAACTCCTCCTTCTCCTCAACATTTGCATCTGCCATCAGCTCCACAGCTTTGTTCTTTTCTGTAACCATTATTGACAGGCGCTCGTTTTCCACATTTTGGCGGCGCAGCACGCCGTATACATCATTCAGCTCCTCAAGCAGCAGGTCTTTCAGTTCCCTCAGTGCTTCAAAGTACTGTGGGAAGTCGACCACGGACACAGTCTCCTCCTGAACAAACGGCAGCGACAGTGAGCACCTTGACCAGCTTCACGAAGACTATAGTGTTAAGAAATCGATGCACTGGTCAAGGCATACGCCCCTACCAATAAGGGATCATCATACAACATCCATCTTTCCAGAAGTCTGCAAGGCCAACACAATAACTGGCAACAAGCCCCACCCACCTCAGCCTCCACATCAAAAGAGCATAAGAAGTTTGCGAATGCTCAGCCTTCAATTTGATGCAAATTGATGCAGTCCCATTCTGCCCACGGAGAAGGTCAAGGTCGTGTTACAGGGAATTGGGGCACCATTTGCCAATGAAAATTGCACACACAACAGTGCAGGCTTCAAGGCTGTCACTTGATGCCCCTTTCCTGCGGCACCATCGTCTTTCCATTTGTAGTCCTCCTACCATGTGTTGCACCTCCATTATCAGCGCCTGTAACCGAGCGTGTCTCGGGTCGCCGTCGCCGAAGACCGACAGCAACGAGCTCACAGCGTTGGAAAACATGTCCAAACCCGACATGGTGGCATTAACCGACCTGCACCCACAGCACAGGCCGCGTCGATCACTCCTGGCCAACGATCACGGTGGGCGCGCGCCCTCGCCAAGTCAGGAAGCCAAACTGACCAGATGGCAAGCTCTTTTTCATTGAGGTGGTTGCAATGTGCGTTTGTAGGGAATCCCCCTACCCTGCGGGGCAAACGCAGGCTGGGGCACCCCTGCACACCCTCGTATCGAACGGCGAAGGCCAGGCTTTGAATTCCAAACATTCCCCCAGGGCGCAGCGCCCTAAAAGCATCAGCTCGTCGCGGCAAATCACCACGCGGTGCAGGTGTGGTCGCCAATCGACAACAGGGCCCCACCAATCGACGACATGGCCCCGCACACGCCAATCTCACGGGGGAATGCGCCCATCAACCGGCGGCTCCCGTCTCGCCACAGAGTCGAACGCACCCATCCGAGAGCGTCGCCCTTTCCCCCTGAGGCAACTTCACCCATCGGCCACCGCGCCGATCAGTGCCCGCCCCGGAGGATCTTCAAAATCCCCAACTTTCTCAGCCCTCTGGGCGGATGACCGAACTCCACTCCCCCCCAATCCCTCTCGCATTCTCTCCTTCCCTCACGTCCCCAATCTGTCCTTTCTCCTCCGCCGCACGCTGGACCCGCCCATAGCATCTGCTGGCGTTCGCACCGACGGCACTCCTGACAATCTGCACCCAGCCCCATGCCCAACAACGCCTTGTTGACGCAGGAGCTGCGCTTTCCCGCTGTTCTGGCGCCGCGATCAAGGGGCTCTCCCACGGTGCGCATGTCCCCTATCTCCCTTTCCTCCTCCCACCGCACGACGCACCCCGCCCGCACCCATCCACCAGCGTTCGCGCTGACGGCGCTCTGGACAATCTCCGCTCGCCCACCTGCCCAACAACGCCTTGCAGACGCAAGAGCCGCGGTTTCCCGCTCTTCCGGCAAAGCGATCAAATCTTGCCCACGGCGCACGAGGTCAACAGGCACCTTTCGGAGGCCCGGGGTTGCCCGCCGCAGCCTCGTTCGACACTTGTCCCGGAGTACCGCGCTCGGATGCACGACCCCGGAGAATGCGACACCGTGCTTTGGCGCCGCCGGCCGGCGCTTGGATCCCGGAGGGACGGCGAGCTCGGCGAGGGTTGGAGCGACGTGCAACGACGGTTGCAGGGAAAGTTGGGGGCGAAGGTCGGCTTTGTTTTCTTTTTTTCTATTTTTTTTTTGATTCCGATTCATTACTTTGCGTTTTTGGGATAAAAGGAGACGACACGAGCGAGCTTCACCCCATACAGAAAAGAAAACGGCCCCAAAGGCAGCCATTGCCTTCACGCGACACTGCTCGGGCAGCGGAGGGCACCGTCACAGTACATGGCGCCGCGGGTGGCAAGTTATAAGTATTTGATTTGAGACCTTTTTTGGTTTTAAGTTAGGTTAGGTCAGGCTTATATTTTTTTGTTAGGTTTTAGTTGCTTTAGTTGTTTAGGGGTGTAGATTTGTATTTTGCTTTTGGGTTTCAGGTTTTAGGGTCTGGTCTTTCAGGGTTTAGCCCTTTCACAATTTCTAGGGTTGGGAACCAGTGGCGCTATTTAGTGGCAGTGCACCCCAGTGCCTGGGCAGTGGCCCCCCTTGCCCCAGCACCGCTGTATGATAACATCTTCAACTTTGAGGGGAATGCCCCTCTTGGGGTTCACTCGCCTATACCCATCGGCCAAGCCTGCCATCCAGCCGTACTCCGCTCAGCACTGCGGCCGCGCCACCGCCGCCCCGTACTTACGCGCACCATCCCACTTCCAGGGAGCGCTTCGCAACTCCTGCGCCGCCCTTGGCATACCACCAGTACTTTGCGCACCGTTGGCACCTCCTCGCCCTCGTACTTCCCGGCATCGCCAGCCCACGGTGTAAGGGCATTTGCCTCGTCTCCTGACAGACGTAATCGCACAGGATTCGCCACCGTACTTTACGCCTTCAGCAGCGCTGAGTCCCATCAGGCAGCTCCTGAGCAGATGAGGCCCCGCTGCCACACACCCCGTGCCCACTGGCTCGGCTCAGGCCACCGCCGCCCGACACGGGCCCGTTCCTTGGCGCCACGGGCCGCTTTTAGTCCAAGGGCGGGCGTGTCCCATGCAGGGGCCCTGCGCTGACTCGTCGGCCCCCCCAGTACTTTGCCAGTACTGCCGGCCCATGGGCTGTGCGCCTTTTACGGGAGCGCCGCATGGCCAGTGCCAGGTCGAGCGCAGGGCTTTGCTGGTGTGTGTGTGTGTGCGTGGGCAAGTTGCCTTTGGCTGAGGCTGGCAAACAAGTTTGGGCGGATTGTGCCGTCGCTGCTGTTGTGGCGAGCGCATCCAGGGAGGCTTGGCGTTGGGCAGCGAGGCGGGCGGCCGGGAGGAGTGGGCAGAATTCCTGGGCGCCGCCTGGGCTTCCTTGCAGGTGGGGCGCGTGAGTCATGCGCTGGCTGGGAGGGGCCGCCCGGCGCGATCGCCGCCTTGAGGGGGCGGGGCCCCGCGGCGGCGGGCGGGGGAGGGGGAGATGCCCGGTCGCACGGCGGAAGGCGCGCGTGGCGCCTGTGCGCAGGGAGTCTGACAGCGGGGTTATCAGCCGTGATGGCGACGGGCCGTCGAACTCGAGCCGCCGGGGCGCGGTCGCTTGCCGGGGTCGCGTCCGTGAAACAGGCCCCCCCCTTCGCACGGGTGTGCCGGTCGCGGCTGGCGATGCGCGGCATGATGCCGCCCGCACGGTCGTTGCCGTACCCGGGCAGCGCCCTCTCGGATCGCAGGGGCCGCTGCCGCCGCGGCGGCAGCGGCGCGCGCCGCGACACCCCCCCGGTCCCCGCGTCTCCACGGCGACTCCACCCGGCGCCGGCGCCAATCAACGCCGGACCCGCCTCCATTGCGCATTAATCCCCCCCCCCTTCCCCTTCCCCCGGCTGACAATCACCTTCGCTCTGCGTGCGTCCCGCAGGCCAGCAGGCTGAAAAGATCCAGCCCGGGCGCAAGTCCCAGCCTTGGACCGCAATGCCGGAACTGGACAACCCACCCCGCCCCCGAGGCCACCTCTACCGGGTCCCATCGCTTGCCGACTGCGCGCCGCGCCGCCCGCCGCGCGACGCCTTCCTGCGCGCGCTCCTGGGCAAAGATGCCGTTGTGCTGCGCGGCCGGCGCTCATCCCGGGCCAAGGCTCAGTCATGGCGCTTCCACCGCCAGTCCGATGACCCGGCCATTTCCCCGACCGCCTCGGAAGTCCGCGCCGCGGACGCCATGCTCATCCTGGCCGCGTCGACATCATCAACGTCATCCCGCGATTCCCGGTGCTTGGCGCGTTCGGGGCGGGTTTGGGGCTCCAGGGCGGGATGCCGACCGGCCAAGCGGCAGAGGATGGCGGCTGGAGAGGAGGAGGAGGAGGAAGTCGTTCGGCCAAAACCTCACAGCGGTCGTCGTGGAGGGATTGAGGGGGCCGGGGCTGCGGCGGGGCGAGCGGGGGAGGCCCAGGCGAGGCCCCGCAGTACTTCCCAAGCTACGGGCACCAACGGTGAGGCCGTTTGTCAGTGCGTGTCACGTGGGTGAGGGCGCGTGGCCCGCGAAGCGATGACTGATTGTTTGGGTGGTGGCTGTGCGGCGCGAGTCGTCGGCCTTTCGCGGGGTGTCGTTGGGTGTTGGTGGTTGTGAGGTGAAAATCCTCGCGCCTGTGGGGTGGGCGGTTTTCCGAGGGGCGTCCCCGGAACTCCAGAGTTGCGGAGGTTGGGGTTTCGGCGGGGCTGATGTGGCGTCAAAAAAGTCCGATTCCCTTCATTTCTGGACGTGAAGTCCAGCAGCCAATGAATGTCATGAAGGTCACGAAGTCGTGAAGTCGTGAACATCATTTTCGGCATTGTGTTTGTGCTTGTGTTTGTTTTAAGGTTTTCAGGGTTGGATTTGTGGGGTTTTGGGTCCCTAATACCCTTCACGACCTTAATGTAGTACCTTTTAATACCTTCATATAATGACACCCTACTACCCTTTATGACTTCTGTGTCGGTGATGATTTGTATCTGACAATCCTCTATGACGTCTAGTCTGCTGGCTGCGTGAGTGGCTGGGTGGATTTCTTGAGAAGCCACTGGGTGGGCACCCAATTGGTGCTGCTGTCTCTTTGCCAACAGTTGTGATGTCATTGCTAATGAGCATACCCTGAATCCTGAAGCTCCCAAAATAATACACTAAGGACTGGTGGTTTCAGCAATGGCTTGCAGCTTTATTGCAAACTCACTGGGTGGCTTTTTGGCTTGGTACTGCAATGGCCCAATTGTAGAGGAAACTGTTGAGCTAATGTGCTGCTTCTTAGGTGTTGAAGTAGGTAAACGGTTGTCAGGAACTAAAGCTTTTGCTTGGGCACTTAACGGTTTTGCATTTTCCAGAAATTTTTGCCTGCTGTTGTGAGGTGCTGATGTTGTTGGGCTCAGAGCTTTGAGCAAAGGTCTTGCACCCCGATTGGGTGCCAGACACCCCCACATACCCACGTGGAGGGCTACGCTCACCAGCTCTACCTGCATGGTGCCCTATTTGCTGCATTTTGTCGAAAGACGAGTGATTGTTTGTGTCTGTGCTGATGGGGTGGTTAATCATCATTTGTTATTTCGCCTAGTTGAGCTGTTGTTTGATTTTTCACTTTGATTTGTTACTTGGATGCCCCAGTCAAAACGTGACAGCCCACTGCCCTTGCACCTATCTTGCACATTTTAGACCGCGGTCAACATTTCATTCATTGTGGTGGAAGGCTGATTAATCGAATGCAGTACAATTTACATGATATGATCGGGCAACACAGGGCGTTAGTTTCAACCCTAAAACAACCCTAAAACAGAACTTAAAGCACGACATCTGCACTCTCAATCCACACCTTTGGATGCCCAGCAAGGGCTGTCTCAAACGCCACGGACGATTGGCAAGTGTCGTACCTACATCATTGCTGTTGCATTGCAGCACACCCACCTCCCACTGTCTGCACACACACACACACACACTCAC